TTTATGATTAAAAAATATAGTTAATTAATATGGCTATTTGGGTAAAGATCCCATGGGCTTTCAGAATTTCTGAGCCCATATTACTTGGATGAGTTTGGCGATACAAGCAAGAATGAGATGGGGTAGAAAATAAAACATGAAATAGATTTATATAAATCTCAAGCTAGATTCTAAAATAGGATCACACTGAACATACTCCTAATTTCAAAGTTTGCGCAAAGATTTTAACAACTAATATCAAGGTCTAAGGCCATGTTTATTTTTGGAAGATTAAGATCTGAAATACTAGGTAGTTAAGAGTTTTTTTCACAGCATTTGAATGTAATTATTTATTTTTATTTAAATACAAATAAAAAAAATTCTTTGATGAAACACACTCTAAAATTAGCGGCAATGCAAAAGAAAAAGCCAAATACGGTTAATAAGCTTAAGATTTGATAATTCACATTCAAATTTCTAGAAGTGCAAACAAAAAAGGTCAAAATATTTTAAGTGCTTATTTTCAATTGCACAATATGGTCCCTTCATGACAATGAGTGTTCTATTTTCCTCGACCTCCATATTTTCTTGATTTAAGAAAATATACAAAAAAAAAAGTAAAAGAAACTAGGAAAGAGATGAGCAAAAACATATGGTTTCAACTTTCTAGTACAATGCATATGGCTCATAGGCATCACTTTTTGATCCTCAAAATCCAGTTCCATGTGAGAAAGCATTAGAAGTTGAAACTTTAAACCATTAAACGACATGTACAATACATAATGTAGTACTATTCATTCTTGAAAAAATGTCATGTGACCGGTAAAGTTGCTGTCATATGATTAGGAAGTCGAGGTTTCGAACCGAGAAAATAGCCTTTTGTATAAATGCAGGGTAAGCCCGCGTAAGATAGACCTTTGTGGTCTGGCCTTCTCCGGACCTCGCACATAGCGAAAGCTTAGTGTACCGGACTGCCTTTTTAATAATAATATTTTATGATTTATTTTGTTCCTTATCTTCTCAGTTCTCATCCAATCAATGAGTTTTAACAAGTTGCAAGATCTACCAATTCTTAAATATTCTAGTCTTCCTTCTAAGATGTTCTAAAGATCTCATCCATATCCCAATTCTGAAAAAGTATTGTTTGTCATTTAGTGATCTTTACTCCCACACCAAGTATTTTTTCCTATTATAATAAAAGCACAACTCTCTAGGAGAATATTGAACTTTTCTTTTCCCAACCTTTCCACCCACTTATGTCATGGCCTATAATTGACTGCTATAAATATTTAATAAGCCAAAGCAGTAATGGGGGCTTATTAGGAGTGGTTGTCGGACACATAATTACGCTTTACGATTTGATTTATCGATTATCAGATTATAAATATAATAATTCGTTAATCATCCAATAGGACAATGGACGGCTTGGTATGGATTAAGAATTAGCGGACGATTATAAGATAATTTATCGACTAAACAAAATAGAATTTTTTTTGAACAATCAATACTAAACGGCCATATTAAGATAACATGTCAGACTAATGTCGGATTCAAATTCAAAAGACTAACTTGTTAATCTAATAGTAGTTTTAAAGGGTCATCTTCCAATCTAGTACATACAAGAACTACTGTAAGGAAGGCTTAACAGATACCAGCAAATCTATGCAAATAATATAGTATATAAAATCCAGATGAGCATCCTAAACATGAAGGAAACTAGCTTCATCCATCCTTTGTTGCAGACTGGATTCAATTGAGAATTAGAAATTAGGGATTTAGCCATTTAGGGTTTTAATAGTGCTTTATATATATGGGGGTAAAAGTATAAATATAAAAATTCTTAATGGGTTAACGGTTTACTCAATAAGAAAATTGAGTAATTCACCTTCAAACCGTTAAGCCGTTAATTATAAAATCTCAATTCATTTACCGTTCATTATCCCGATAATCCGATACCAATAGCCAATAAGTCATTAGTTCAGTTCGTTTAGCAGTTTTGGTTCGGCTTGAACGGCCCTAGGGCTAACCGTATGAACTCTGGAACAACAGGCAAGGTAAAAAAAATATAGTAAGAAATTTTAATTAATTTCGGTCCATTTTAATTGATTTTTTCTTACTGTTTTCACACATACTAAGAAATTCACATTTTAGTATTGATTACCAATGAATTTGACCATATTAATCTTAATTTGTTCATTGGAAATACAACAAATACTCCTAGGCTTTTTACTCCAAGGGCAACTTTGAAAAAAAATATTAATTTCTTCTTGATAACCGAAAAAAATCAAACACTGTGGACCATAAAAAAAATACCAAAAATTAACTAAAATGAACTGGAGGGAGTAGGACGAGTCTACACATGATAACATGTTAAAAATAAATAAAAATATTAAACGAGGCAATGCGAGACCAGCGACAGATGTAGTATTCTAGTCAAGTTCAACTGAACCCACAATTTTTCGATATCTAGGAGTACATAATTATATGTAAAACAATTACTAGAATTACAACAATAGTAATAAATATGAACTCAAAGCTTTAAAATACAATAAGTTCAATATTAAAATCTAAATATTTAACATATAAAGTTTAAATTTTGAATCCGCCTCTAAAAGACGTTACCGCCTTGCCTAACCCGTTTGCCATACCAACAAAGTAGTGTGGGATTACTAATCTCTCTCAGTTTCTATTTTTGCACGAAAAGTAAACAGTTGCCATTTTTGAAAGCTTGAAATGTGAACTTAATAATTTATTTACGGCATTTGACCATGTATGCTAATGTGCCCCTAAATTCGCCTCTGTAAACTATCTCGTGCTCAAATTTTCTTTGGTCAAATTAATGTCGATCATTAAATTTCAAAAAGCTTGATTTAGTCGTATTGGCACAAAAAGTCGATACAATTGTTAATCTCTCCAATATTTGTCAAACTATTTTTAAGTTTGAATCTTGAATAAAAAAAAGACGAGCCTCCAACGACCAGAAAACCTTCTCTTTTACTTGATGAAAGAGTGAAGTAAACTTGTAAACAGACCCTATATATACTCGTGAAATTAAATAACACTCTTTTTTTCGTAGTAATACTTAGGACCCGTTTGGTCATAGATTTTATCTAAAATAAATTTGGGTTTTATTTGGCAAACATTTGTTTTGCCACAGATTTTGCTTATATTTTGGCAAAATCCCAATTGAACTGGTTTTGGGCCAAAATATTTACAAACACTAATAATATACATGTTTTTTCAAAATAATTTTGGGAAATATGTGTTTGAAAACGTATGTCCAAACATATTTTTATTTTCAAACCAAACTTCACCCAAATTAAAATTTTCAAAATAAATTTGGGAATCTATGGCCAAACGCTAGCTTAAATGCTTTATGTAATTATGCAAATGAAATTTACACGTTAGCAATGTAAAAATAAAGACCAAGAATGGGCAGCGATTGGAAGTTGTAAAATAAACGAGTAAAGTATATATGTTTTGGGTAGCTTTATTGTTTTTAGTTGACGGAAGTTACCTATGGTAAAATTTTACTTGCATCAACTGTATATATTAAATCATATTAATTATGATTAAATTATAAATACATAAATGAATATAGACAATTCTTTTCTGGTTACCATTTCCATAAATGGTCACTTTTCAAGCAGTTGTAGAGTTAAAAAAAATGCTTAAAAATATAGGATCTACCAAAAGATTGACAAGAGAGCCAGGCTAGCTACAATGCAATAGTAGTTCTTATCCTTAAGCAAATTCCTACGTCATTTATGGTTATATCATCTATATATAGGGGTGAATAGCAAATAAGTGGCTACTTCATCTATTTCTACTTAAAACAGTTGACATTATTAGCATGGGCGGAGCTAAGAGCTTCAATGACGGGTTCGATCGAAACCAGTAGTTTTAGTGCAAATCGTATATTTGTCTTAAGAATCTATTGACTAGGTATAAATTTTTAATTAGAATTCAGTAATACAAAAATACTAGAATCTCGAACCTAATGATTTTAAATCTTGACTTCGCCTCTTATTATTAAATTTAACTTTAGTAAGAGGATGAATTTAAAAGAATAGGTGTCAAAGCCAACCAATACACCCACCCCTTTTAATTTTGTAAGAAAAAGAAAAGAGAGAAAAACAAAAGTGAAAGCAACCGTCTTTGCTTGCCCATAAACTGACATACTTTAGCATTTACACATATTTTGTGTCCCATTTTGCACTTATATTTGGAAATATTTTGGAACAAGTCATATTCCTTTGTTAGATAGATCTACCTTTTACATGTAAATTTCTAATGTCAAAGCTTAACCCTGAGGGGTAGCCGAGATGGTAAAACCACTGAGGACAAAGTCCTCAAGGTCCCAGGTATCATGTAATTTTCTGCCCCAAAACGTGGAGAACTGAGAAGAAATTATCTCCAATTTTGTCTATGTTAAGATTTGAACTATCATCTTTTTGGACATTTTCCACTTCTTAATTATTATAACATTAATATTTAAATCAGCTTGCATCCATATCATATAATATATACCCAGTAGCTAATATTTTCTCGAGCATATGCACAAGAAAATGTGTATAAAATTTTGTATATAACATATAGAATATATATATATATATATATATATATATTTGACTATTATTTTGTAAGCGGCTATATAATACTTTTTTCCCCAAAAATATCACCTACTAGTAGTTTTTGTTTCTTGTGAAATTTGAACTATCATCTCTTAGAATATTTCCCACTTTATAACCATTAAGAGGTGAGTGCGAAAGCATTTTAAAGTGAATAGAATATAGGCTATAGCGCCCAACTTGTTTCCTTTCTTTTGTCTTTACATTTATTTGGACAGAAGCCATGGCTTCTTTTCCAGAGCTTTCTCTTATTACTCAGTGAAAGATTTAAAGAGTTTCTGAACTCCTCAGACATTAACTGTGCCTCCAACTCCTTTCTGCCCATAAAACTTTTGTCTCTTTCCCAAATTTACTATTAATCTTCTTACTATATATATATATATATATATACACGTATATATCTGTTTAAGGGAAACCGTACAAAGAAAACAGAGAAAAAGAAAAAGAAAAAGAAATGAAGATTCAATGTGATGTTTGTGATAAAGAAGAGGCAGCAGTTTATTGTTCAGCAGATGAAGCTACTCTTTGTCAACGTTGTGATTATCAAGTTCACCATGCTAACAAGCTTGCTAGCAAACACCTTCGTTTTTCTTTAATTCATCCTTCTTTCAAAGACTCTCCTCGTTGTGACATCTGTCAGGTACAAAATAATACTCCTTCCGACCTACTTTAATTGATTTTTTTTAGCGTTTTCACATATATTAAAAAATTTACTTTTTAGTAATTAATTAACAATGAAATTACCATATTAACCTTAATTTGTTCATTGGAAATATACGTATTCAAGACTCTTTACTCTAAGTACAACTTTGGAAAAGAGAAGTTAATTCTTTTTTAATATCTGAAAAATCAAATATTGTGGACCACAAAAAAAAGAGGCCAAAAATCAATTAAAATGACCGGAGGGAGTACTAATCTCGACTAACAAAAAATTTCAGGGGTCGTTTGGTTACCAGGATTAGAATTATAGTTTCGAAATAGAATCTGAGATTGTATTTATCTTAGGTTTGGTTATGAGTATTAGTTAATATCGGTACAAATTTTATACTAAGATGGTGCTATTAACTATCTCATATTAAATTTGGGATTATAATACTGGAATTCTTAATTAATCCCTGAATATTCCCGCTTTGCAACCAAACGTAAAATTTCTTACACTCTCATCGTATAGAAGTTAAATTCTTTTCTTATGATTTATTGAGTATGTTTGGATTGACTTATTTTAAGTATTTTTAAGTTATTTTGTAGTATTTGGATAAAGTAAAAAAAAATGCTTTTAAGCATTTGTTTTAAGCTAAAATGATAAAAATAAGTCAAAAGCTAGAATTTCTAACTCATGACTTATGCTTAAAAGTCACTCGAAATAAGCCCATTCAAACCGGCTCATAGTATATGCAATGACATCGCAAACCTTTGTTACACAAAACTAACTAGTAACTTGCCCATTTTCTAGGTTATATAAATCACATTTTTATGAATATGATGGCCCAATATAGTAAAAAAAAATGTACACGTCAAGTGTATATAAGTTAAAGAATTTAACTTCTATATATTAACGCGTAAAGAATTATTAATTTAATATATTTTAAACTGTTATAATAAGTAATTTGTTTATTTTTCTATACAAGTTCCACTTTCTATGAATAATTATCTGTAGTTATCTTTTATGTGATCTTATAGAGTAATTTTTTGTTTTTTGAGTAAAATTATTTTTCTCATTGTATTGGTAATTTGATGATCAGGAGAGACGAGCATTACTCTTTTGCAAAGAAGATAGAGCAATTCTTTGCAAAGAATGCGACTTACATATACACAAAGCAAATGAACATACCAAGAAACACAACAGGTTTCTTCTAACTGGAGTGCAGCTCTCTTCTGCTGTTGCATCTTATAACCAAACTTCATCATCTTCATCCCCTACTGGATCTGCTGCAAGTAATGCTGAAAATTACAAATCTTGTACTAGTAGTTCTGGGATATTGAAGAGTAGTTCGACTGTAGAATCAACACCTAATTTTCAAGAGGGTTCAGTTTCAACTAGTAGTATATCGGAGTATTTGATTGAAACTCTTCCTGGTTGGCATGTTGAAGATTTTCTTGAGTATCCATGTTCTTTTCCCTATGGTAAGTTTTTTTTGCCAATTACACATTCAGTTCTTTTACGGTTTAACATATATCCACGGACAATAATAACAAAGACACCTTTAAAAAAAAAAAATCTTATATATGTGTTTAAATGTCACTACAAAACAGCTTGAAAGTATTACAAATAAAATAGCCTTAGGACCAACATAGCCCTAGATTCCAACCAGAGGCTGATTGAGATTTAAACTCTATAGGTTCAGCCTTTAAAGTTTTCACTAATTTAAAGTTATGAGGTCATATTTACTATTTATTATATTTTTAGTAATTTTTTACACCATAAATGTATGCGCCGCATAAAAAGTGATGGGTTCAGTTGAACCTGGTCCCGGAGTCAAAAGACTAGATCTGCCTCCCACTCTAACTCACTTACATGCAAGCTTGCAACAAATTCTGCATGCGCCATTGACATAGAATATAAATAAATTTTGACACATTAGTATGATTTAACCTGTTATATAAGGTAACTTGTTTTATTTTTCAAGTTACTAATTTCATTTATTTTGAATAATTACCTTTAATTATCTTTGACGTGACCAAATAATTTGCAAAAAATTGTGATGTATTAGTGTATCGAAGTTAAATAAGTTTTCTTATATATGTTCAGAACTTGCAACTAATGATGGTTGTTTGATTGCAGAGTTTTGATCAGATACGGCCTGCTGTTTAGTTTATTTCCACTACAAAAAGTGGAGGTAGCTCAACATCAAATTCAGCCTCTAGAATATAGTGTGTTGAAAGCAAGCAGGAACACAAATGGAGTTCTGTTCCTTAGATCAACCCTCCAATCTGCCAACTAAGATTGACTTAGTAATATTAAAGGGCATAAATCTTTGGAGATACAAGAAAACATAGCGGTACAAGCAATCTGACCTTTTCTTTTGGTTGCTAATTTTGATCAGTTGGTTTTTGGACATGTTATAAGCAAAAACCCAACTGTTTTTGCAAGTCAAATCACTTCGACTTGTTAGAATCTGTCAGTCAGACTTGGAATGGGTTTTCAAACCAGATCTGGGGCAATCTTTTTTTTTTTTTTTTTTTTTTTTTTTTAAAGAAAAGCTGAAAAAAATAATTTCTTCTTAGGAGCAGAAGCATTATATTAGTACTAACTACTAAGGGGAAGAAAACAATTCTCCTATATGTTTTTTTGAAGCTTGTCATTTTTTATCCTGGAAAATACCCATTCAACTAATAAAATGAACTTGCAAAATTCATAATTCATCAGTTGTTTGTTTCTGAGAANTGGGAGGGTCTTGTGCCTCTTACCCAATACCCGCTATAATTATTGAATATGGAGATCGTATTTATTTCTCATATTTATGGCCAAATCAATTTGTTAAGGGAGATTGATGCAAAGTTTATTGGCTTTCTTTTTGATTCTGAAATAAGCTCAGCAGCCAGCGTCCTCACAATCTTGCAGGACGAACTTTTATATTCAGGGCTAAACTTCTAAGACAAAAACAGACTGTCGATGAAATCAATGGCAGTTCAATCATCTAATGTAAGTAATAGCATTTTAAAAAGGCTTAAACTCCTCTGAGAAAATTTTCTGTAACTACTATGGCTTTAAACCTACGTACCAATCCATTTAGAGTGAATTAATAACAGGGAATACAGGGTTGGCCAATGCATGCCGGAGTAAAAGATTGAAAACTCACATGAGAAATGAATTTATTGACGGCAATGGGATGTTTGGCTACAGTTGGAAAATAACCTCGGTATTTAAGTCGTCATTAATAGCCGAGCGATTGGTGGAAATAATGTTCATATTAGTTATGCTTTAAATCAAGATATAACTTGTCCCCAAGCCAAACTCCCAAACTTATCCGATACAATTAAGTATTATTGTAACCTAGCAAAAACTCGTCCAATCAGTTCAGACCAATACCAATTAAATATCTCCCTGACAATCCAGTCCCAATTAAATATCTCCAAAGATAATTTCTACCAAAAGCAATCCCGCATACCACATGGAGGATATGAACAAGACTAGCTGGTGAGCCAGATTATGCTTATTATCTAATACATGCTGAAGACAGGCGTAGTTATTGTAAAAGCAGAAACCAAAAAAATTAACCAACTGATACACCAAATAAGAAACGCTAGGCACAAAGAGAACCAGATTATAGTCATCGATTGATGTACAAGCTCAAACATTTACAGACATCTCAAAATTGTGACTGTAGCTTGTGTCCTATACAATGCCTTGCGCTCAAGGAGATCAAACTATGCCAGCAGCAACTCACTGAATTCAAATTTACTAATTTTCGTCTGTTTCCTTTTGTAGCACCTATTTTTCTTAATTTACAGTTACTTGGTGGACAAAAAAAAAAAAAAGAGGTACCACTTTGACATTACATACAGTTGAACCTTGTAAAGAATGTCATGAGAAAAGGAGCTTCACAAGATTGAAGAGAACCCTCCTGCAAAGAGAGAAAGTAAGCACCTTATTGTAAGTTGCATTCAGAACTTGTGCATAAATTGTTATTATAAAATTAAATTAGGACTCGGGATTGTTGAAGTGCGTAACTATCTCACAGAAAACCCTTTAATTACTAACTTATATTATATATCTCAGCAATGACAACTCAACAACCACCTTACCTTTCACCACCTTTCGAGCACTTCAGATGCCATCTCAAGTATAAGCAAAAATTCTATCTGTAATTTTAGTCCGACAGATTGGACACTCGGCACAGGCAAGGGAACAAGATTTACACACTGCAAATTAAGTCGACATTAGACATCTCCTACCAAGGGAGCGAGGATAAGCTGAGCACATAATCAGAAAGTTGACTTACAGCAAAAATGTCGGCAAGGAAGGAGCATCGCAGAACTTGGTGATTCGAAACAGACTTTACATACATGTGAATTTGCATCAACATTTCCCAAATATCTGTGTTCCTTTTCCTTCATCTCTTGCATTCGAGCCTGGTGGCACAGGTAAAAGATCTTTAATATTTCATGTTATATGTTGAGTCATGAAGGAACCTAAAAAACAACATTTGTTATTAGTACTAACTCCTATGCAAAAACCTAAGAACAAACATGTATCCCCTTACCCATTTAATATTTTCCATTTTAGGTTTCATCTTAAAATGCTTGAGACAATTTAGCTACTATATTGCACTACAAAGTCAAATTCTTCTAAGAATTTCAAATCTATTTGACTGTCAGAAGTTAAATTTTCTTATAACTAAAACCAACTGTGAGTTCAGCATTTTCTCCCATTACTAATATAATATAATATGCAAGTCACGAACAGTAGGACTTGCCTGAAACAACCTCAAAAGATTGACACAGAGCAGTAAATAGAAAAGCTTATAATGCTCTTAGTTACTTTTGATTAGTTGGAACATTTCAAAAGCACTACAGTAAGTGCACTACTATGCGAGAAGCACCATGGAACGACAAATGACTGAAAGGTAAATACTTCCTCTTTCTCAGTTTATGATGACACTACTTATATTTTGAGATGTCTCGAAATGTTCGATACAATTCTGTTTCTACACAACTTTCAGGAATAAAAATTCATTACAGTATCCAAATTTTAGTCTTCAATGCGATATCTTCCCCGCCCAGCTAACTTTTCAACCATTTCTTTAATATTTTCTCCTGTTATCATTACAACAACAACAACAACAACAACAACTGGGATTACACTGTGGGATATAAGTCATTAAAACTAGTTGGAACATTTGATTAGTTGTAATCCCACCAGTGTAATCTCCTGTTATCATTAAAACTATATATAAGTCATATTGACTTCTTAAATGCCATCATCAGTCAAATACAAGACATAAAGTGGGACGGATGGAATAAGTAAAAGTATATTAATCCTGTGACTTACGGATGTTGGACACTTACTCTCCCCAGCCCTTCCGGTGTTCTACTAGAATCAAACAACCTTCATCTTCCAGAAAGCTTGCATATCTTCCTGGATCCAAAGTCTATCTCACACTTGTTTTACAACTAAAAGACAAAAATGACCATCTTACATAGAGAGGGAAAGGTAAAGGAAAGCTTGCATACAGAGCTTCAACTCTGACAAATGACAAGGACGAGCCCATTACATACATGTGACAAGATACAAGTTCTAAGTGGCAATAAAGGATAAACAGAATTACCTTCAAGCGGGCAACAAGAATGTCTTCCTTGAGAATCTCTGCAACTGCAGTTGCATGATCCATGGTCCGGCCATCATCGAGGATGGGGTCACTGTACTCACTATCATTCACTTTTGGATCATTCCTATTGTCTCCTCGAACATTCTGCTTTTCTGCTACTGTCTTTAAATCTTGCATGGCACCATTCTCTTTCCTAAGCTGAGCAACAAGCACCCACATATTTGCTAAATCATTTTCCAGAGCTGCCTCCCTTTTTTTTCCCTCTTCAACCTTTTTCTTGTACTCATCTTCCAGTATTTCCTTCTCAACCAAAGCAGCCTCCAGAGCTGCCTCACATTGTTTTCTTGCCTGCAACTCCATTTTTAAATCTTCATGATCCAGATTCCATGGGCCAAACCCATCACGAACAACTCCAGCAATTTCAATTTCTCGTCCAGAAACCCGACCTCTACGTCCTTGCCATAGGTTTTCACCATGCTTTCCGCAACGAGCACTACCAGTTTGTGCTATGGAATTCCTAGAATTCAATATTTGGCGAGCAGCCAACAACTCTTTCTCGAGTTTTGTATTCTGTATCGATAGCTTTGTCACCTCACCAGCCAAATTTTTCAGTTCTACTGCAGCAGCAGATGCCAATTCTTTTGCATATGAGGCTTCTTCAGACAATTTCTGGTTCTGTACTCGCAATCCACTGTTCTCCTCTACACTCTGAACAAGTTCCAACTTCAACTTATCATTATCAATATCCTGCTCAAGCAACAAACTTATCAGAACCATGATAAGGACACATTTAAGGAAAATGCAATCACATAAAAGTGTCTGTAGGCACAAAGCTAAATAAGCAGAGTTAGAGAGATGTAGTCCTTTAATTGCTGTATATGTCACACTAATGGCAGATTGAAGAACTCTAATAGAAATGCCCAGTAATGCTTGCTTTTATGCAGGTAAAGCCATTAGTCAAATACAAATCTAACATAGAAAGATTAACCAAGAGAAATTGAAAGATCAAAATGATCATGTGTCTAGGCTCCATACTATAGCACCAAGTTCAGTATGTTTATATAGAACAGAACAAAAGGTAAAAGACTAAGCATCTCCAATAATTTAAATTCCTAAGTTAAAAAATCTTAGACTAGTCATTCATAAATAACATATCATCAGGATGCCCTTCAAGGCATTTGCACGGCTTTATATAAAGGAAGTAATAAAACACTTCGATAGGTCTTAAGAGTTTGAATTCTCAATGTATCTTTAGACTATAGAGGCACTAAGGATTCATATGAGTCCTGTGCTCAGCATCTCTTAGCTCAGTTAACTAAACAGTGATATGCTCCAGCAAACCCCTCCCCTGCAGGAGACCATCTTCATGAAAATAAAGAAAAGAAAATTTGGTCTCAGTTCTTCATATAAACAAGAACCAGTCCAATAGACAAACGCGAAATCAGTTAATCCTGAGCTGAAGGATATAAATCACCTGCAACTGAATTTTCTTCTTAAGGTCATCAATATACTCGTCTGATACACCCTGTTGTTCTGATGAGGGGTATGACTTTTCCACCTTCAGTGCGGCTAGCTGCTGCTCAAGATTACAAATAGTTTCCTGCAGTTCCTTGTTCTCTAAACACTGAAACACATAAAAAATGACAGTCCCATTAATCCTGGACATCCGCCATTGGCAGGCCGACAACGTTAAAGTGACTACCATTTTGATTAACAACAAAAATAAATAATGGCGTTTCTTCACCTTGTTCTGCAGCTCTTCCTGGAGAATCCGATTGTCTGCTGATTTTATCTGCATTCAAACGTCAAATTCTAAATAACTTTAAATAATAGATGTTCCGCACTCTGATAGAAAGGAAAATTCTTTAGATTTGATTTTAAAATAATTGAATTGGTGCAAATCAAGGAAGGACTAATCTGGTTACCAACCTCAAGCTCAAAGCCCTGTTCACTACATTGTGTCATCAGCTTCAGCAAAGTCTGGCAGAAGACAGAACTATGAGACAACCACAAATCACCATTAAAGAGATAACCTATGAGGTTGAAAAAGAATGATGTGACATAACCTGCTGCATTTCAACTAAAGATGCACTGGTGACTGATGCTTCACCAATGTCAACAATGCGCTGTTCTAAGATCCTCATCTGCTCTCTCTTTTCTTGAATGTCACACTCCAAACTTTGAATCTGTCACAAGTTTAGGCATTACGGTGAGTAAAAATCTTAAAAGCAGGAGACATCAATGTACAGAAGAACAAACAATAAATTGTTTTCATGAAAATCATACAGCTGTTGTTGCTTAACAACAAAATCCTACACACCCATCAAGCATTTAACATGCCTATCAACTTTGAGGATTAGAAACTATTGAAGACACTAGAGCTGGATATGTTTCACATGTAGTAAATATACCAATACCATGCCTTGAATTTTGAGGAAGCATCAATTACATATTCATTTGAATTCCAAAAATATATCTAAACTGTTCGCGAATTTTGAGAGAAGATTATTGACTGCAAAATATAGCTGCAGATTATTCAAAGAGAGACCCAATATATGGCTATAGCAGCCATACACACATCCATCATATTACTAACCATCATATGTATAAAGGATTCAGTCCACAAAGACAAAATAAAGCTTACTTCAGTACGAGTTTTTGAATTCTCAGGATCATTCGCAGACTGCTCCATCATTCTTTTCAATGTACTCGTACTAAATGCAATCTCTCCAGCAAGCATCTTAACTTGCTCAACAAGGAGGTCCATCTGATCTGACATTGGAACTCCTTTCTGTATTCAAACCAGAAAGACAAATAAAACATTAAAAGTTGGAAGGAATTAACATTTGATATGCAATGGAAAAGTATTCCAATATATAAGAATTAGACATTCGAAAAAAATAATCTTAATGGGAAAAACTAGATTTGAAAGAAAAGTAATAACTTCTCTATCCTGAGACAACATTGGAGAATGCTAAAATGTACGGATCCAAGAAAGTTTGATAATTCAATACTTGAAAAAAAAATTAGATATCAAAAAATCAAACTCCATGCAAAGTCAAAGACCTTAGTGGGCTATTCAGAGTAAACTTAACTACATGTGGATTAAAAAATAACATAGTAACCGACAAATCCTTTGATTCCTACAGAAGATTAACAGTCATATGCAATACATAGGAAGTGGAATTAAGAACAAATGAAGTCTCCTCATTTAGAAGATATTAAGGACTGGGAAGAATCATACTATGGGCAGCTTTGAACCACAGGAGGAACTACTGATAAGTTCACCCACCTGAGTTGATTCAGTAATCGTACTTCCAGCCTGGGAGATATTATCATTCCACTTGCTTGAAGATCTTCTGTGTTCAACATCAGAAGTCTCTGATGAAGGATCTCTCTGATTCTCGCTATCAACGAGCACAGAACAATCCAACTTCTGGTGGAAAGGTGAAATAAAGGATCAATTTAGGAAACAGATTTTATATTTGAAGGTGAAAGATAAAAGATCATTTTGGAAAATTGATTCTATATATATATCGGGCGATATTTCAGCGAATCTGTATGTGAAAATAGATTCCATTATCTGGATCAACATCGATGCCAGAAAATTTGCACGTAAATAGTAATCAGAAAGAAAAAGAGACAAGAGAAGCTTAATTTACACTCTTGAAGGGGATTGACAGTGTTAAAATCTCTATGTAAGATAATATGAACAGTGACAGTGTTAAAATCTTTATGTAAGATAACATGAACACTGGTAATAAGTAGTACGAGAAAGTCCTGTGAAAATCACAACACATTTGATGCATCTAAAATCTAAATTCAGAAACGATAACCAGAGTTCTAGTGGGCAAAGAACAGCAATAAGATAACTCAAGATAAATAGAGAGGGTGGCCTACATCATCTTCAGAAGCAGACTGACTCCTCTGATGTACAGCAACATCCCCCAAACACCCAGGAATTGAATTCTTTGAAGAAACAAGGATCAGTTTAGTTAGCTTCTGTATCCGGCTCAGTAGAGCAGCCTTGGCATCCTCTTCCTCCTCCAACCTTGACTGCATCTTCACTTGTCCCTCTTCCAACTGTGAAAAGATGATTAATAATAACAAAATACAGAACCAATTATATCCTATGTTCCAATTCACATAGCAGTTTTTCTTTTTGGTCCATTCCAGGGCAATTGACACCTTTTCATGCCTGGAACTCATTAATTTTAAACTTTTCCTTTTTCCCTTAATGACATGCCATTGTGGAATCGACATGACACTTTTTGACCACAAGATACAAAGGGTACTTTGGGAATGTTAATTGTTTTAGCTTATGAGTCAAAAGTCTTTTAACTTTCTTAAACTTTGCGCCGAGACAAACACCGCCATATAAATTAAACAGACAGAGTACATCCAAAGAAAATATCTTAGAATCTAAGTACAGGCATCCTCGAACATGGCATCAGTTGTATGTAACATATTTGACCTCAAGCTGTAGACAGAGTTTACCAAATCATTTGACTTGAATGCATACCTGCTGTTTCAGGGTAATAAGTTCTTCATGATTGACTCCTACAAGCATCCCCCTTCTTAGCTGATCAAGCTCTTGCTTGAGACAAGATATTTCTTTCTGATATTTCTTAATCAGTGACTTCTCATCAATAATCTGAAAGAAAGATATATGAGTATTCAGCCTTCCCTACTGCAATTCCATAAAGCTGAAGTGATGCAGACAGGCAAACCTTGTTGCGTGATGCATAAATCTCAACACGCTTTGCCCTGCTTGCAAACTTTAACGTATTATGGGTTTCTTCCATATTGCTTGAAGCAGGAGTAACAGTGCATACGAGCTATAATCAACAAGAAGCAGGAGATTAGTCATCTCTTCAATGCACTTCGTGCCAAGCAGCATAGATGCAAAAATGTCTGACACCAAAGGCTAAGAAGCAAAGGATGCACACCCAATAGGATAAGAGAGCAGTTTCAAATGATCAATAAATTGATATGCACGACATGTGCTTAATTGCACTTACAGAAACATGTCCATGCCCACTAAGTGAAGATTGTAGTAGGCGAGTAAGTTTAGAATCTCGATACGGAACATGAGATGCACTCCCTTCACTTAATTTTCCAATGACCTTAACACATCAGAGAAAAGTCAATGTGTCAGATTGAAATAAACCCAGAAGTAGAAATTCATCTAATACTTAGCGAGCTCAAGAAAGAACACAGATAACTGATCAAGTGCTGGTAGGTAAGGAAGAAGTCAATCAGAACACTGACAAATGTCATCATGCAACCTTTATATGAAACCTACTTACAAACTGTCAACAATTGTTTCTAAATACTTACAGTTCCAAGAGTCAGGAGACTTTTGTTTATGTATGAGCCTTCTTTTCGTCGTAATCCTGTAGTTTCAGTTTTAGAGCTCTCAGATCCAGCTAGATCAATCAAGCTCTGTGGAACAAAACACATTAATATTAGCTGGTATCATTCAACAGTTGATATTTTCAATGCTGAACAAATAGTGTAAGAAACCATACAAGCTGTGAGAAGATCACACCATCATATTCATCACCATGGGCACTACTTTCAATCATCTGCAAAATGTGCAAAGAAAGGGAAAACAGTCAGACTTGACAAATAAATCCCATCACCAATTACCAGTAGCAAAACTTAAAACTGCTAGGGATAGGAGGTTAAGAAACAGAAATTAACCACAGCCCACTAGGGAAACACAACAAAGCTATTCCGACAATGTGAACCAAATTCAGTCACTCTAAAGGGCATCACCTCATCAAAATGCATAACCTGTTAGAGTACCAATTCTCTGTACTAAAATCCTCAAGGCATTTGAAAGCTCTAAAATGTCACTGTTGTTTTTAAAAGACCTCTTAAACATAAAGAGTAACAGCCGTAGCAACTTCCCAGAAACTTGTGTTTGAACCCAATAGTAATAACTTGAACCGAAACAATTAAGCCTTCAGCTGACCAAAAAACTGATTTTTAATGCTGGCTGTGAGGAGTTAAAATTCACGCTCGCTTAGTGCAGAAGATAAGAAGAATTTCAGATCAACCAAAGAAATGTATGGATCGAAGTGAACATCTGGTCCACTAACCAAGGTGAATATTGTGTGACTGCGGCTACTCAACAGATTAAAATTATTTGAACCAACGTGGCGGTGCTCTGCAACAGTAAGAATATAATTAGTACCAGGATGCACGAAACATTGGCTATGAATAGATGCGACTATCGGGCAAAGAACAAGAACAGATTCAACAGTTACCTTCCCCAGCAGCAATAAAAGAAAGAGCATGCCCAGGTGACAAAACAACTTCCTCCTTTATACCTTCAACATAAGTACCCTGCAGAATTGCAAGAATAAAGAATTAAGAACCATACAGCAGCATTAGAATCATGAACTATGATAGAGAAACATGAATATCTGTTTTCTAGTAGAACAACTACACACTGAAAACACCACCTGCAGTTGCTGGTAGGTAATAATAGGTTTTTTATACTTCAGGTAACAAAAAGAATGCTAGATTTTGTTTCTTTCTTGACACATGTCAAGAGTTAAATAGGTGTTAATATGTTTGGTGAAATATTAAGACTCAAGCATGCGACAACATGTCGGAAACATGTTTTTAAAATTTACTGAAATGGTTGTCAATAGCCCATAGGAGATAGAGCTATTATTTGGTTCCTCTCATAAAAACAATATACTTGTTTATCGACAAACATATAGAAAGAAAGATAAAACTAACCAGAAACATAAGTTGTGGAGAAAGTGGAATTAAATTTGCAGAAGTAGCAAAAGTAGTAGTATTATATAAAAACCTGGGTGTCTTCCCTAATACGCAAATTCTGTCCTGTTGGATCCAGCAAGTCATTGATAACCTGACAACATGAACAAGAAGAGCATGCACATGATTTCTAGCTAGATTTAGTAAAATATTTTAACATGGATGAGATGACAAATGCCTAAATAGAGATGCTCATGAATTAGTACAAGAAATTAGAAAGAGTTGAAGCAACAAGTTCATAAGAAAGATGCTAAATCTACTATCAAATTTTCCATATTGTATAAAAGAAGTTCTATGCTGCAGGTATGATGAACCACATATCAGATGAGCTCAGAATATAAACAGGATACCAAAAATGCAACAAAGATGCTTATATATGCATGAGCATCTGGTAAAGAATATAGCCGTTAATCTTTCTCGCATGCACTACTGTCCACATATACGAAAGCATCTGCTGATGTCCACTACTAACCTCATTATAGATTTCAAGATATGATACACGAAGTAAGAATTCACGTCCAGGAGTCTGAAAGGCAGGTTTCAATAATTAGCAACAACAAAAGATAATGGAGGATTTTTTTTCAAGAAAAGGGCTATAGACTGATAGAGCTCCAGAGTGTCATACTAGAGAGGTCCATTATCAAAATTTCAGAATCTGTTAATTGTAAGCTCACTTACATCTTGAATAATGCTAAAAACATCCTTTATTGCGAGCGGAATTATACCTGGAGAACTTTGATCACCCTGTAAACAAAAATCCAACATTAAGATAACTAAAGCTTTGCTGTTGTTGGTAGGTTTGTGGGGAGGGGGGAAACAAAATTTCAATTGAAGACAAATTTAAATACCGACTTGAAGCGCGAATTTGACTATATAAATATAAAGCTAACACATTCCACTTAAGACTGAAATTTGGTCAGTTGCTAGCGATTAAATACTTCTAAACTGTTTGTTTGGGGATGTTACAAAAGCGTCAAAAGCACTTTCCCGATTCAAGGGAAAAAGAAGATTGCACAAAGGATATATTGACTTACATGCATAGTGTGTGTCTTTCCACTACTTGTAACACCATAAGCAAATACTGTGCCTGCACACACAGCAGTCCTAGTGTCAAATTACAAAAGCTAAGGATCGAAAAGTATCCAAAGAATTACATTTGCAAATGCAACTTGCAACACATAAATGATAACAGATCAGCTCAACATGATAGCTCGATGGTTTCAAGAACCTATTTCAGGTCAGCACATTGGGAGGATATATGATAAAATTAGCACTCAACTACTCCGAATGTATTTGATGTCAACTAAGCATCACTTTGCACAAATTAATCTTCACGGAGCATGGCCCTTGAACTCACATTATGACTAATTCATAATGCCACTCCATTCCATTTAGCCTAAAATGCAACTGTTTTCTAGCGTTAACAACATGGAAGTAAGTATCATACCGTTTACGCCCTCCATTGCAGCCTTTACCACAGGTCGAGCAGCAATTTCATAAACCTCCTGTGTACATGTATCAGGTCCAAAAACTCTATCTGCCGATCATCCAAAGCAAACATATAAGTGAATCTCCTCCAAACAAGTGAAATATCAAACCATTCCCAAATAGAATATACAATTGACTAGAATAGTACCAAATGCAAAAGCTGTTGCAGCATTATACTCGTTCCGTACAATTTTATCACCATCAGCATACCACGCAATTTCATCGCCTTTGTTATATTCTCGTTCGCTGTCACAAAAATTACCATATTCCAAGCTCAAACCCTACAATAGGATACTCAAATTCCGAAAATTGAAATCAATTCAAGCAGATGTAGCATCTACCTCATTGGCCGAAACCTAACTGTGACCGAAATACTCTCTCCCGCTCTGGACATATCCACTGGCTCAGCAAGCAACTCCTCCGTTGACTGAAAATTGACCGGCGTACGATTTCCGTAACCGCGAGAATACGCCGAATCAGTCCGGTCCCGGCTCGGAGTCATGGATTTGGAGCTGAAGCCAGTTCCAGAGCCGAAAAACGACGTCGCCGTGGACGAACATGATTTCGGCATGAGCCTACTGTTCATGAAAGATGATGAGGACGAAGTAGACGAGTACGGACTCGATGACTTACGGTAGTGAAACGGCGAGCTACTTCTCCCTCTAGACGAAGAAGCCGCCATTGAACCGCCTCACTCTGCTTAACAAAAAAATCAGTAATACGATTATCTCTGAACGGTACAGCTGTTCTTCAAGTATATATGTAGCTAAAATTCAGCTTCAATGATTCAATAGAAGAACTGCCGAGAGGTGAGAAATTCTCACTGAGAATCAATGGAGGCGTTTGAATTTTCAGAGCTTGATTTTTCAAATTAATAAATTATTGTATTTTGTGAGAAATATTTGGAGGAGAGTGGGCTTTATTTGAATGAGGATGGCGTGACGTGGAGATGGAAAGTTGGAGGAGGTTTAATTTGAAAAACTGATTAACGAGGAAATGAGCGGGAATAAACATGGCCGTAGCTACAGATAGATTAATAACTATCTGCATTATTAATAGGAGCATCATAATCATAATCATAATCATAATAATAACTCTAGAACGAGTTGGCTAATTTATTACAAGTGGAACATTTAACTAAAAATTAAAAGCTATTTTCCTTGGGCCAAAATATGGGAAACACACTTGATCAAGTTTAATTTGAATATATAGAATTAATTCCGATTAAATAGTTTAAGCTTAGGTTGCGTATAGAAATTAATTAAACTTTTGGAAGCTCGATCTAGTTTCCGTCCTTCAATTAAAAGAGTTCACATAATATCAATGCGAATAAAATATTCTCACATAATTCCTAAGATATTCATTGACAATTTTCAGTGATTTTTGTATGATGATGCTTCGTAAATAGTGGGGGAGAATGGAACGTAGCATTTAATTACATTTTTTAAAATTAGCTTTCGCCTAATTTCAACAATGATAGTTGTTTCAATAAGTTGCAAGATGGATCTCATTTGAGTGAGAAAAAATGTTAATTTAACAACACAATTGTTAATCGTTGGAAATCACTATCTTTTTGTTCTAATATTAAATCTCACATTTAATTTGCTTGTTATTTCCGGTTTGTATGTAATAATTTTTTATTTTTTTTATAAGGTGCCCAACAAAAAAGGGAAATGAGAGTGAGGGATCTCGATATTCATAAAAGTGAAGGAGTAGAAGCCAAGAATTGTTATGCTAAGTTACTATCATTGACACTGTCGAAAATTTGATTGCACGTGGTTTTCTTTTTCTGTTAGCTCTCATTTGTGGTCCTTTTAAAGCAATATACGGTTGAGAGGATTAATGTATTTGTTATGTTATGTTATGTTGTGAGTGGGTGACAACCTTAGGAGTTGGAAGTTGGCACTTGACGTGGCGAAACTAAAATTTTCGCGAAAGAGATTTAAAGTATAAATAAATTAATGCTCGAAGAAGCCAAATGAATTCAGTATTTACTATTTATACATCAAAAGTAATGTTAATTTTATATATACAATGTAATTTATCCAATACATGCAACCTTAACTTATGGCTCCCAACATCATGGACTTGCCCCTTCTTTTGGTATTATTGGAAGAATCATTAGTGCAATGGTTTCACTAAATTTGGCACTCATATGTCAATTCATTAAATATTAGAAAATCATTAGACACTTATGTATCTCACTTTAGACCCTTATAATCTCAAGAATCACTATTAGTAGCAACTGACTTGTATGTGTCAGACTCGTTTAGAAATTACTCCAAATAACTACATAGGAAATGATTAAAAAGATAAGTGGAGGATACATTAATGTAGTGGAATAAATTGTTGGGAATAAACCCCGTAAAAATAATATTCACGGTATTAGTGATAAACGCGGAATACTAAGTTATGGTTAAATCAACAAGTATAGAAATGCAACAATAATGACACCAAGATTTTACGTGGAAACCCTTCTGAATAAGGGAAAAACCACAGCCAAGAAGAGAACCTGATATCACTATAGCGAGGAATTTTACACTGTGTAGTAACAAGTACAAATACTCCCAAGACCACTACACCCTCAAAAGAAATAAACACTTTTTTGCTTTTTCCACCTCACTACAATATCTCTCACACTCTACTTTTTTTTTTTCACAAACTATTTTCTTATAGTTTATGGAATACCTTGCTCTCTCTCTCTTTTCTCTCTTTGTTGGTGTGATGAAATGAGAGTTGAAGCTCTCCTTTTATAGCCAAAAAACTCACTCTCTAAAGCCTACAATATTTGACAATTTGCACACACTTTTCACAATTTCAACAATGATGGCTACCAAACCAAACCAAGTCAACAAAAGTGGCTACCAAATTGTACTAATTCAACAAGGTTGGCTACCAAACCAAACCAAGTCAACAAAATTGGCTACCAAATCATTTGAATGAGATGGCACCATATCAATCTCCCCCTCCAGTCTCATTCATCTAGAGGAGGTAGCACTGTCTTCTAGTCTGAGTGCATGCCGACAAGTTCTTTGCATAGCTCGAACTTGCCTCTTGGTACCACCTTGGTCAACATATCATCCACATATAGCAAGAGGATGATAAAATCATCATCAGAAAATCTTTATATAAACACACAGTGATCGGAAGAAATCTTCTTGTAGCCTTGCTCCCCCATAACAGACTCAAACTTCTTATACCACTGTCTGGGAGCTTGCTTCAAGCCGTATAGACTCTTCTTAAGTTTGTATACAATATTTTCTTTACCTTTTACCTTGAAGCCCTCAGGTTGTTTCATATAGATCTCCTCTTCTAAGTCACCGTGAAGAAAAGCAGGCTTCACATCCATCTGCTCAATCTCCAAAGCAAGATTAGCAGTCAAACCATGTACTGTCCTAATAGAGGACATTTTCACGACAGGAGAAAATATTTCATCAAAGTCAATACCTTTCCTTTGACCAAATCCCTTGACAACCAATCTAGCTTTGTATCTAGGCTTCAAACTATGTTCTTCATCTTTAACTTTGAACACACCACTTGTTTTTCAAAGCTCTCATGCCCTTAGGCAATTTCACCAACTCATGAGTATAGTTCTCATGCAGAGATTTCATCTCATCTTGCATGGCTTCAATCCATTGATCCTTGTGCTCATCCTCTATGGCCTCCGTATAACATTCAGGTTCTCCCCCATTAGTGAGTAATACATACTCATTGGGTGAATAACGGGAGGAAGGAGTACAAGGTCTAGAAGACCCCCTGAGTGGAATATCTAACTCGTCCACAGCTTCGTGAGTAGGAGCATCTACCTCATCAACATTAGCATTGTTATCACCATCACTATCAATATGCTGATCTGGAATATGGTTTTGGGCATCACCATCATCATTGAGCCCACCAACGTCATCCGCATTTGTATGAGGAACTTGATCAAGATTAACTAAACCTTCAGAACTTGGAGATTTTAGCTTCTCTGCTTTGTTAATGTCTTCAGTGGTTTGATCATCCACGAAGATAACATCACGGCTTCTCACGTACTTCTTCTCAATTGGATCATATAGCCTGTAACCAAACTCATCAAGGCTATAACCAATGAAGATGCACTGTCTTGTCTTGGCAGTTAATTTTGACCTCTCATCTTTAGGCACATGTACAAAAGCTTTGCAACCAAACACTTTCAAGTGGTCATAGGAAACATCCTTGTCATACCAAACTCTTTTTGGAACATCACTTTGCAGAGCAACTACAGGGGACAGATTAATAACATGTGTGGCGGTCAACAAAGCTTCACCCCAAAAGTAATTCGGCAACTTTGCTTCAGAAAGCAAACATCTGACTCTTTCCATCAAGGTCCTGTTCATCCTTTCTGCTAAACCATTAAGCTGATGAGTCTTAGGAGGAGTCTTCTAGTGTTTGATACCCTGTTCCTTGCAATATTCGTCAAACGGTCCACAATATTCACCACCGTTATCAGTACGAATACACTTCAGCTTCTTTCCAGTTTCTCTTTCAACTGAAGCCTGAAACTGCTTAAAGACACCCAACACTTGGTTTTTAGTCTTCAAGATGTAGACCCAAAGTTTCCTTGAGCAATCATCAATAAAGGTAGCAAAATAAAGTGCACCACCCAAAGTCCTTGTCTTCATTGGACCACATAAGTCTGAATGCACCAACTCAAGTAACTCTGTCTTTCTTGAAGGAGGACGGGATTGGAAAGAAACTCTTTTTTGTTTTCCAGCCAAGTAGTACTCACATTTTTCTAATTTTGCACTTTCAAAATTTGACAACAATTTCATCTTGGCCAAAACATTTAGTCATTTCTCGCTAATGTGGCTAAGCCTCTTATGCCATAACGTTGAAGAGTTATTGCTCTCAACAACATTCACCATACCAACACAGGTAGAGGCCATAGTCCAGTATAGACCACGACGCTTTTCTCCACGAGACACAATCATGGAACCCTTAGTGAGCTTCCACTTTCCAGCACCATTAGTACTGGCATATCCCTCATCATCCAAAATACCAACAGAGATCAAATGCAAACGAACATTAGGTGCATGCTTTACATTGTTTAAAACTAGTTTAGTTCCAATACTAGTTTCCAAATAAATCGTTCCAACACCAGCAACCCTAGATACAGTCTCATTACCCATACTCAAAGTTCCATAATCACCCTGAGTATAGGATGAGAAAAATTCCTTTCTTGAGTTACATGAGATGCGACACCTCTGTCCACAACCCAGCTTGACCATCACAAGCAATATTTATTAGATCCGCATCAAGGACAGTAACAAGATCTTCTGTAGTAACGGTGGCCACACGATTGCCATCTTCTTTCTGTTCTTCCTTGTCTCTATTCTCATTTTTCAAAATCCGACAGAATTTCTTTGTGTGCCATTTCTTCCCGCAATGATAGCACTTAATATCTTTAAGTCTGCTTCTGGATTTGCTTCTATTATGTTCTCTATTTTAAGAACTCCGATTCTTGCTTCTCCCCATAGAGTTAGTCACCAAGACATCTGATGAGGAGGAACCCTAAGATTTTCTTCTCATCTCTTCATTTAAAAGGCTGGTCTTAGCAAGATCCATAGGGATCACACCATTGTCACACCTCCTTTTTCCGCACCCGCTAGGGCACAAGGGAGTTTTTCCAATTAAAGGACA